ACTGCGACATTTACAGCTGTTGGAAGCTCATCCCGAGCACAGATGTTCCTTTAAACAATTAACCGAGTAATAAAAACAAGTAACTCAAACTACACATTAAAACTATTTTTTACAGTTTTTAGTAGAAGATTCCTGGTCTGCCAAAAAGCTGTAAAAGTTAATTTCAGATGTGATTTATGGTCTTGTAGCTGAAATAACTATTGGGAAAAATGTCATGCAGATACTGTTCTTCCAACAAAGTTGATTGATATTAATTCCCTTTTGCATACAGGAATACATGTATTGGTATAGACTTTATAATGACTTGAGATAGGCATATTTTCCTTACATAAACCAAGGTTTCAGCCAAGGCCATTGATTATCCACTAACAGACTTGTTCAGTAAAGCTAAATTACAGAAACCTGAACAGAGAAGAGATGTCCTAATTAGAGTGACTTGCAGTAAAATGAAAAACCAAGTTATAGTAATATTACAGAGAAAAATGGACCTTGTGAAGGTAAGTGGATATTAGCAAGAAAAGTTTATCAAAACCTATGTATCTGCCATAAAGATGTCAGGAAGAGAAAAAGTGCATCTAATTAAAATGTCTATCTTTGTGTGTACATGCAGAGAAATAACCAGCCTACCCACTTTATTTTCTATGCACACAGAACAAATATAACACCACACTAAGGTATTATGGAGAGTGGAGAATTACATCACTCTTGCAAAAAAAGCTGCCAAATATCTCAAGAAGTACAACTATATTACACTACATGTTGCTTAGAGAAGAAATTGTGAACTCAGTTCTTACATTACAATCATGTAGTTTTAAGGCAAGACAGAAATTAAATTCTTGATATTATTAAATGCATGAACAAAGCTCTGGCAAAGACTGGTTTGTAATAGTAGAACTGAATGGCAGTGAACAGAAAGACCACTGGATATGTTAAAAAAAAACAATGGTCCTGAAAGGTCAGTATGAATTTACCTGATCATGATATGAGACTAATGAGAAAGCACACAGGAACTCAAAGAAGGGATTTTAGAGGCTGTGACAACATAATTCGCTAAAACACAGATCAGCAGGGATAACAGTACCAACTGCAATCTTTGACAGAACATTCAATGAAAGAAATAAGTGAAGCACCTTGGTACATTCTCTTTCATCAGTTGTCTTAAACTGATGCTTTTAAAGCTGTCTTTGAGGGACTAGGACTTTTCACCCATGTCGAGTGGTACAAAGTCTTGTACTCCCTTTGTACTTTTGAAAAAAAAAATCTAAGCTTTATTGGGGTGGGAATGGAAGAGTCCTGCAAGGAAGACACTGCCAATCTGACAGCACTCTTCTGGAGCAGGACCGTGCCCTTGCTCCTTCTGACTCACCAAGCATGTCTGCTCTATCCACCTAATTCCCAGCTGCAGTCTCACTGGGATACTGCATTTTCCTCTTTCAGTTCTACAGGCTATACCATCGCTTCCAATAGAGGTGAACATGTTTCAGTGTCTCTGCTGCATCACACCTTCATAATACATTTGGCACAATGTCAAAGACCACTAGAACACAGTCAAAATCCAGATATCAGACAACATTCCTCATCTGCACACAGAAGATTTATTAAAATCGATTGCTAAGGAGTCAACTCTGAACACCGTTTTGAAGTCAGTAGTATTTTTCAGCTCTGACAGAAAATTTTTCATTAAAATTTCCCCATCCTCCCCTGATCACACAGGCAGGCACTAAACAGTGCAGTAGCTTTGCCAGGAACTGTATTATTTGCTGATGCCCTTACAGGACTGCTGAGGAAAATAATTAGCTAATGAAAGATTTCCTTTTTCAGGGAATAGCCTGAATAGCCCATAAGGCAGAAACTGTCAATGACCAGTATCGATGACTAACGTCACGTTCCCCTGCCTTCAAGGACTGCATTTTATTTCCTGCAAGTTCTAACTCCTAATAGAAAGCGTGCAGATGAAAAGCAAACTCATGATTGAGGGACTTCCTTTGTCAGGGGCGTCTAAGCCAGCACAGGCTCTGGCGACAGTCATCCTCTCCCTGTACCTATCCCCCTCCCTGAGATATGTTAGTCTGCTGCAGCAGCTCTGCAGAGCCAGCATTCATCACTCCTTCTCCCTTCCAAATCTATTTCCAGGAAAAGAAGTAGGCACTGCCCTCCCAGTCTTATGCAAGACAAATACACACGCACATATCTGGCACTCAAGTGAGAAGAGTGCTTATTTCCATTGCTACAGAAACTGAGGCATTAAAAAACACTCAGTAAGCAAGGCTGGTCCAGGTTCAGATTTACAGTCCTCCTACTGACTTGAAAAATCACAATTTGGTTGAGGTGGGCCACAGAAAAACAGCTGAGAAGCCAGAGTTCACATGTACAGAGTTCACATGTACAACAGCGTTTACAAAATCTCTTATGAAGCAACCGGACCAGTTCCTGTACAGTTCCTAATACATGCAGAGGTGCAAAACATTCCCTCAACACGTGCCCACATCATCAAAGGTGGAGAACACACAGCTCCATGAGTGTGAAACCACTGAAATCGCCTAAAAGTAGGCACCTCAGTCCCTGACCATTTAAAATATAAAAGATGTGCCCTCACCACACCTGTGGTGACCTGAGTGGTTGTTTCAAAAACACATCTTGCTATTCTGCATGTCTGCAATTCAGATCTCTTCCAGGAAACTTCTATCAGTCCCATTTGGAAAGAAAGAAAGAAACTCAACAGCTACCTGAACATAACTTGTGAAACTACCTCCCCAAAATGCACCTGTTTATTGCCAGTTTCGTCAGCCTCCAGTGGGCAGGGAGAAAGAGCGCAAGAGTCACCAGAATATCAAACTCAAACACATTTTCAAAAAACATCATCATAAAATGCAAGCAGATCAGTTGGGGCAGGAAATCCACAGAGACCAACTAGTTCAGTGAGCATGAAAATGAATGACAGCTGGTTTCCAATGGCTTGCTTGTCTGCACAGGTATCTCTGAGCCTCGGGAGCTGATGGCTTATATAAAGTCTTTTTCAGTAGGGGGCACACAGGACTAATTCAGAGCCTCTTGCTTCTTGACCAAGACACTTCCTCTCATGTAACTAGTAGGAACATAACATCTTTGCCATCTTCATCCCTCTGTCAACTACAACTGAAACTCGCCAAAGGAAGCCAAAGTCAGTGGAGCATAGCAGGTGAGATGGGGCTCACACAAACAACATGCCATTGCATTAGCGTCCAGACAAAGTGCTACATGTCATCCAAATCAACTTAAAATCACATTCATGTCTAAAAACCTTACACAGACCACGAGCAGGCTAAGGTAACTACATTTAGAAACATTTCACTAGAAAATATGTATTTACTTTCTGCATTAGATGGAGCTTTGAGCATGCCTCAGCTAAGATAAGACCTTGATCCAAAAAGACCAAAACATGTGCTTGCATTTTATTTTTCCCTTGATATAAAGGTCATTTACAAACGCCAAATAGGAAATTTCTGGTAAGCGATTTGAAAGCAAAATAAAAGATGTCAGTTTTGTAAATCTTTTGATTGCTGCACTGTAACAAACTGGTTTTTTTTTTTCAAAAGTTAGTCAATTAAAAGCATTCAATAAACAGTGTCCTTTCAGTCAAATCTTAACACAGAAAGAAACAAGAGTGAGCTAGACAGAGGTCATATGCAAGATGTTAAGACTCATTACAAAAAAACCTCAAACCTCTGCTGCTTCAGAATGCAACCTGTGACCCTTGAGAGGCAAATGATATTGAGTGCACATCCCACTAAAAGCACCTCCTAAGCTTACACAGTTTGGAAACTCTCAGACCAGTTTCACCATCGATGCAAAACAGACCAGTTGTGAGTCACAGGATCGCTGTGCTGTAAACCCTGGCTACCAGTCAGGGTTAAGCCTGCAACGAACAAACCAACTTCAACACTAACCAGCCCTCTAGCTCTGCCAGTTCCTGTGAACAATGAAATGCAAAGTCCTACTGGTTAAAGGTCTGTACAATACTTTATTGTTATGGGCTAGAAATAAAAGCAATCACTGCAAGCAGGAAAGAAACCCACTAACAGAGACTTTTGGTCCAACTAAAAGAGAGAATTGAGCATTCTCAGTTTGTGATTATTATTCTTTTTTGTTTGATACTTTGTAATTTGAAGCATAACCTTCAGGCAAGATAGAACCAGAAATTTCATCCCTTCCTTTCCTGATGATCTTATCAGGTGAGTATTTGCACAAACAGAGGTTATCTTCTAGTGTCCTCCTGCAAACAGAAACACTGATAAGACTTTGCTTTTTGCATTTGGACAAAATGTGTAGTCATGGTGCTTTGTTAGCACTAAGTAATTGCTCTGCATTTAAAGCCTGTTTATCATCAGCTTAGGCAATTTTTCTCCAATGGGTTAAATACCCTGACAGGTCTGCTAAAGCTACAACCAATTAATCTGCCCAAGCCTGACACGATAACCAAAGTACAAATGTGATAAGCAGAGTGAACTCTTCTTTTTACAGCGCAATCGAAATCAGGTTAGCTGGCAGGTGGGTACAACCAAGTGTCTTTTGTACCAAAAAGCCTGTTGAAACCTAGGATGGGATGGGGGGAGCGGCGAGGAAGCTGGCACCACGATTTCATGTGCCAGCCAGAAGTGTCTTGTTTCACCAGTTTGAGAATTGTATGACTGAGCTCTGACTCACAGGAGACGCAGATGCACCAGTCTAGCACACAGCCACCTTCAGACGTCCCCTCCACCCCTGTGCAGGAAGCTGCTACACCCACCGCTGGCACAGCACCCCAGGTACCAAGTCCATTTCCTCAGCCAGCACAGCTCATACCCCAGGCAATGCAACTTACACCACCATCTATTTATTTTTAAGCTACTGCACCACGCTGCAAACTAACGCGGATGACAGGCAAGCACATGCTGATTACTGCTGTTCCTAAATCTTTTTTGCCCCCTAGATGAGGGGCAAGAGGACCTCTGCAGTCCCTGCAGCGTGCACCACCCACAGCTGAGGCGGGCAGGAACCGTGTGCGCTCCGACCTCACCGCCTGGAGCTCAAATTTTTCAGAGTTACTGAAGTACAGAGGGGTATCAGTGAATTGCCAGTCATCCAAATACACGTGGCAAGGTAAATAACATGTCTTGCTTGGTTTTCTCTTGCAATTCATTTGACATGGAGGCTCTTAGTTTAAGGTAGAGAACAGCATTAGAGGTGAGGGGAAAAGGTAGGGTTTTTTCCTAGTGTTGTTAGTTCTTACAGTTTTATTCAGGCTTTTGATTTTTTATTTCCTTGGAAATCTCAGCTACTGGAAAATACGTTGGGAGAGGGGAACCCCAAGTTTCCAGCCCCAAAAAGTTACTCAGGGTAGTGATTTCAAAGTCAAACAGTAATAATAAATTAACGAATTTAAAAGAAAACACTACTTATTTATTTAATTCTTGTAGTATTACACCAGATTATTTTTTTCTAATTCTATATGTTTGGCTAAAAAGTGTTCATGAACCATTTCACACTTGTGAGGTATGAACACTTCCCTGGTTATATTCTGGGAGCAGCCATTCCTAAATATCTTCAGCCCACACTAAGTGCTAGATTTATTAGCAAGCTATTAGCAAGCATGTCCAGGTGAGGTATTGTTTCATGTTGTTATGAAATTCCCCATGAGCATCCCTATGTTAAAACAGTTACTCTTATCATCCATCAGCGATCCTGAACCAGCATATAAACTTTCAACTAAAATACAGTATACCAACTCTCTCCTCTGTGGTTACTGGAGCATGGTTACAGTAACATTGTGAAAGACAAGAATCACTACAGATCAAACAGGAATCAAGTACTGGCTGTTACTAAAAGCAGGATGTAGAGAACTAGAGACACACAGTTTCATTTTGAAATCAAAATAGCTTAGATCCCCCAATTAACTTGAAATGAAGAATAAGAAAATGTTCTGGTTTTGTCAGGCACTTCTGAAGCCTTGCGGTATGCTGCTGGAAGTTGTGATATAAAAACACAGGCACAAGTCATATTTAACATGATGTCTACATTTAATAGGAACTTCTTTTTAAATAACTATGGGGGTTTTTAAGCAATCTAGTCTCAAAGGGTGAATGGAAACTAGCTTTTTGAAAGATGTCTAACATTACTGATCTATCTGACAAGGAGATGCAGGTGTGCCTCTAGACTGGAAAATGCTAGCGTGAACTGAAAGACGCAGCTGTCCTCTCTAAAACTTATCACATATACCCCGGCAGGCTCTTCAGCTGGATGCTTACCACGGTAGAGCATTGGCTTGTGCTTTTAACCTTCCCTTGGCTTGAACAAACAGCAGTACTGCCTCCACCCTGGCTGTTCTGGCACACATCTTGTTGCTCTAGCTCTGTGTTACCCCTAGATGAAACAAAAGCTCAAAGTTCATCTTAACTCCATCCCCTAGAGTTTTATCCAAATGCTTTTTAAATGTTAATTTGGAAGGACCCTGCATGCACAGTCACTTCTTCAAAAAGACACAAGAGTCGAAGCAAAGAGGTAGTCTGTAGGAGCTCCATCAGTGGACATGCTTTATTTGAGCTACTGCAGTGACTACATGCATGCAGGATCTATATAAAACAAAAAATGGCTTGTGCATCCTTCTCTGCATTTATTTTCTCACCTTTCCTCACTTTGGGGTGTTGTTTGGTCTTAACACTGGATTCTCTCAGGGCATCCAGATATCCTCTTTGAATGAGTTTTTCTTTTGGCCTCTTTCCAATCACCCCTGCAACAAATTTCTTTCTTACATTGGTCTTGCCATTAACTCAGAACCCTGAGTGCTATGAAACCATATCCTTCTGTTCCTTCCCAGCTCAAGCTTCCTTTTTGCAGTTTACTGCTTTCACAAGTTGTATCTTTGTTCTCCTGCTTTGGGATTTTCCACTCTCCAAATGGCCTACCCATTGCAAAGAAAATGGAGAAAACAGTCTCTTTTGACAGTCTAGACGTGACTTGATGACCTTCTGTTCTCCTTGGTCTGAAAGATGACATAGCCCCAGCTTCACATACATGAGGTATTTGGTGGTATGGTGATTGCATAAGATCAATCAGGATTCCTGTGATGTGTTTAGACAGGTTCCCCAACTGCCACACAAATATTTTGAAAGTAATCTACTGCTGTGTCAGAAGTGATGTGTCTAAGGCCCCACTGTAGGAAGTGACAGGACTCTATTGTTCTGCATAACTGAATTTGGGCTTGTTTCGCATCACGCTGACAGACGGGCAGGCTCAGCCAGGACCACATGTCTGCAGAGATGCAGGTGCACCTTTAACCTCCCGCTGCTACAGCAAGCTCCAATTTGGTCTTCCTGTAACATGCTAAGTAATGCATCCAGCACTAGAGTTTTGCTCGGGTAAAACTGATGTACTGCTGTTCTGGAGCTGATAGACAAATGGTATCAGAGAGAGATGAGTAATGAGGGAAATTTTTCCATATAGTTTCTCACCACTATTCAGAAGATTTACTTACAGAGCAATGGCACGGCAAAGAGCACTAATGAATAGGGGAACATGCTGCAGAACATCTACCTTGTGTCACTGCCATCTGTCTGAAATATGTGAGCTAGCAACACCCAAACTGCAAGTTTAGGTGCATAGCTGAGAGAGCAGAGAGCCCGGAGAGGGCTCCAAGGTTGACCTGAGTTAGCCTACCCTACAGTAGACATGGAGGTGCCTGAAGACTTCCCAAAAAAATAATTCTGATGGTCCCTTGACCTGCAGAGGCTTCAACCACAACAAGAACAGAACAAAGGAGGCTGTGGCACATGGACACACTGTTAGTGTCTTATGTTTAGAGATAAAAGGAAGAAAGCAAAACCAGAATAAAACTTGCACCATTCAGCACGGCTTCACAGAATGATCTCACTATTTAATGGACTCGGAGATTCTCGCTCTTTCCCAGCTATCAATTTTACAGACTCCATCTTGTTTGCCTGTGCCATTCATTCATCACTCATCATCCCACAACCTGCAGGTGGTGGTGGGACCCGTACAGATCCACTTGCACTACTTCTATGTTGTCTCTGGGTTTTGGTCTTGTTATGTTTCTGCCTGAACAGCATCCACACAAGCAAGGCAACCAAAACAAGTGAGAACTTGTTGAGTAAAGATATTTGAGGCAAATTATGTCTGTTGCAATACTGAAGTGACAGCCACAGCAAACTAGGCATAACAACATCCACTGCAAAATAGGGAGCTCAGCAACAGGCTTGGAGTCTCAACTAGCTAATCTCAGAGGAACGCTGCTGATATCCACTGGTGGAGGGCCTTATTCCTCCTCCCAGACAAGTCCGAGTTCCTTTATTTTTTTCTCTTGCAAATATGAAAAGAGCTTAGAACCCAGTGGAGCAAGAGGTGAGAACAAATCATTATAACTGATGAAGACCACTTCTATTGTGAGCCTTCTAGCTACTTTTATGATTTTTTCCGCTTCTTTTCCTTTCTTCCTTCTTTTCTTCCTTTCTTTCTATTTAGTCACTTGCTTCTTCAATTCACAGTGTGGTTCAACCCTGAGTTCACTGCTAGATGCCAAGTTTCAAAGTTCCCGAAGTACCTATCTATGCACACCAAGCATTATAAATAACATTTCCACATTTAAGCCAATTGGATCCTGAGCTAACCTGGTTTATAGCCATCTGGAATTCTTCAGAAAAAGTGACTTGTGAGCACTGTAAACAGTTTTGTCTTCCCAGAGGACACCAAGAGTTTCCAACTGCATTGTCATCTTCATTTTGCAATGTGAGTTCAAGAGCAAGGTATAGATTTAAAGAAGATGATAATGCAAATAGTATTAATAAAAGAAACTTCAGAGTGATCTGCTTTTCCCTAATAAGGCAGGCTCTATCAGTGTCCCAAAGGCAGCAAGGTGCCAATACAATTAATCAGTCTGTTTTTAGTTCTCTCTAGACAGCAATAGTAACAGTTTGTTTCAGTCTGTTTATATGATTCTGACAGGTCTTCAAGATGCTGTGCTCACTTTCTTGTGATTAATAGTCATTCACATACTAAGGTAAAGACCAAGCAGAAAAAGAATGTTTTTAGAGCAGGACAGATAACTGGATTGTCTCCCCCAGTCCTTCACTTCTAACCAGGAAACAGTACTAAATTTAGGAGTGCTGTCTCACCATATTGTTTAAACTCCTCTTCTTGCCACTTGCCCATGTGATGAGCCGAAGGGAAATTTAAATCACATATTTTCTTCATTTACTTTTCAGCTGTGCTCTATCAAGCCATCACATTGATAGTGAATGTCTGCACACTGTGATACTACGTGCAGAAAGCAAAGCCATTGGAACCAGTTTTGAGCAAGGAATAACCCCTCCTGGGAAAAGAACTTCTCTCCCTTTCCATCTCTGCAAACCTCTTAGGGGAGATCTGAGGTACTAACGGAGCGCCAAACCCACTCTAACAGAGACTTCACAGACCAAGAAGGAGCTGGGCTCTAAGGTGTGTTTTGTACATTCCTTCAGTGGCTTTTACAGCACTTTTAGTAAGTCCTACCAAACTGGAGATGCTTCACTAGTACAAAAGCAAACCCTTTTTGGGCTGGGGTCCTCCTCTCTACCACAGAGAGCTTTGTTTGGAGACAGTGTGAAAGAACCCTTAGATAAGAATTTGGAGCATTTCCCAGTTTCCCCTTCTGCGTCTTTCATTTTGACACAGGGAGTTTTTTCTCTCTCCTCCCTGCCCCAAGAAAAGACCATGCACACATTTCTGTACTAATTTTTCTCCATTCTCTCTTCTCTCCATTTCCTCAGCATTTGTCATCTCTCCTTTTTGGAGGGAGGTTTTAGAGCTCCCCCTTTGTCCTGGTTTCTTCATTAATTCTTAATTTCCTGACATCCCTTCTCTCTTTGAATGTCCTCCTTCTCCTGACTTTCCCTCATCCTTTTTTCTCTAGTCCATTGATTTCTCTGCTTAGGCCTCCTGTGATCTCTCTTCTTTCACTCCTACCCGAGCCCATTCAGTCTTGTGCCTCCTCCTGTCTATTTTAATCAGGGCAGCCTTTTCTTCAGCATTAATCAGAAAGCATAATTTCTTTTCTGACATTTTTTCTGAGCAGTAGCCTTCACAAAGCTTATTCTCCTTTCAGTTTTACTGCAGTTGAAGAGGATGGCATAGGAAAGTTATTATAGTTGAATAGCAAAACAGCTCTGCAAGATAATATCAGCCCCGAGAATAAAAGAAAAATCATCCTAATTTTTAAAATGCTATAAGCTGCACTAAAAAATAATAGGAATTGATAAGTAAGACACAAACATATATTAACACACAGTGGGTCTGACACAAGAACTCAGTAGTGCTGTCCAGAAACCTGTTGCTGTATCCTCCTCTTAGTTGTTCTAGGTAGCTCACCAAAGCAATGACACAGGTTATGTATCAAATAGCAGACTGCCTCACTCCTTATCGGGAATAAAGGCACTTGTATAGCCTCTTCTCCCTCCCACAGAATTCAGGTCTCCCACCTCTAAAACACCATGCTCAAAATATAGTCACTGATGTCACCTGCTTTCTTGCCCTTTGGCAGATGATAATTTCAAAGCAGTTGCTTTTTTTATTTGTAGTCTTGTTTTTCTTAAAAACTTGGGGTATACAAATGCTTACAAATGAATTTACCATCAGGTCAGCTGCATGTGTCTGGGAGCCACTCACCTCACAGTATGGCATGGGCAGAGACATCCCCCCATCTCTTTTGGAGATCCACAACAAAAGTAACTTGGCTTTTTTAAGGTCACAACTGTGGCTTGATGGTTTTAAGAAGATTGTTCATTTTTAGCTTTTAAGAAAAATGCAGCAGCAGCTGAATGGACTAAGATACAGCACTTCTAAAATTAAGTTCACTTTTTATAAAACTACTGTTTCCACCACAGAAGAGTCAGTATGAAACACCTTCTGCGGTGCTGTGACCATTTGATTTCCAATAAGGAAAACACTCAGTGCAGCCATGTCATGGATGGAAAAGAGAGTGGCTGAGCAAGAGCACAACTGCTCCAGTGTCATGTAAATCATATGCTGGGTCATGTGCCAGGGGAGCACATCTGGCCTCTGCCTTTGTGTAAGATCACATCACAGAAGAGGGCAGAAGCGCTGGGCATGTGGTTGACACTTGCCTCTCATGCTTTGCCATACTGTGAGGTGTTTCACAGGTCTCAACAGTACCTACCACACTGTGATGCCATGGCTGGGAGCATGAGGTATCACAGCTGACACTGGAAACACGCACAGTCAGGAAGCCTGAAGAAGAGTAAAAGACACTCACCACAGTGTGTGACCCCTGGACTAATAGTTGTCAAGAACAATTTCAGATATTCAGACCCTGTAAAATCATTTTCTTTGGCAACAGATAACCCAGCTGACCTGGGAAGTCAGATACAAGCACATCTTTCTAAATGCGTAACACCTTCAGAACTAGATTATGAGGAAAAAGAAAACAGGAGAAAAGCAACGTGAGAAGGAAACTACAACTTTGTGCTGTGTATTGTCTGTGGTTCTTACCTTCTACGCAGATCTTCAGCCACTGCTGCTCTGCAGCTGAACAAATAGGCTCGGAGAGATTTTAGTTGCTGTCTCAGGCGGACAACAGTTGCCAGAGGTTCAACATGCTTGTACAACATGGGATTTTCCTGCTGGATATCAATCAATGGCTCCTCATAAACATATTCCAGGAACTCTTTGGCTTGCTTTGATACCTGAAAAATATGAAGCAACCAGTTCAGCTAGGTTCTCCTCCCAACTCTTTTAAAGCAGACCTTCCCCTCTGTGATCCATCAGCTATTCTCTGCATCTGAAAACTTACTCTGTTTCCAAATCCAGATGAAGACAGAACTAAGAGAGATCCAACTCTCTCTGCTTATAGCCAAGTCAAACTTCATCAAGCCCATCAAAGTTGAATGTATGAGATAATTGCTTATTTACCCAAAGTACAGCAATATTTGCAGCCACACATGCGTTTACTGAAGGATAACATAGATTACTAGATGCTTTTCAAGTCTAAAAACTGATTACTAAGTTTCTTTCTGTTAATATTTTTCTGTTTGTTCACTGCTTGGCAAGCAGCAAGTGATTAGGTAAATGCATAAGCACAACAATAGAAAAGGAAACATACACACTGTAAATCCAAACACGTTGTACTACTATCCCAGGGTATAGAAGTCCAGTGTAAAGTACTACTCCCATTTGTTTCATGCTCAGCCAGTAGGGTTAAAATTATGTAAAAGGAAAATAATCAGAAGCATATCTATCAAATTGTTGGTTTTTTTAAAAATACAGATAAATAAAGTTGAATTTTACTAGTATTACTCACTCCCAATGTTTCATCTGCAAGAAATTTTTCTTATGTCTTTTTCAAGATAGTGCTCTGTTCTATCTCCACCTGCAATGAGCTACTGTAATCTTGATAAATTGATGGGACTTTTGTTCCCACTAGAACAGATACTCCTGTTTCTGAGGTGAGAAGGCCAAATTCCCTCTTATTCCTTATTTCTACATTTTATCACAGCTGGAAAAGAGAAGATGGGATTATCTGAAATAAAATGCACGTCACTTGAAACTGTGCTATAGAAATACTATTCGTTCCACAATTCAGTTTGTCTTCCTGGACCTTTAAATCACTGTTTACACTGAGTCTGGGGCGGGATGAATTAGGCTAACAAAAGGAGAAAGGGCACACCACAGCCTCTTGAGATTTACGATGTTATTTCCCTTCTGGTGCTATAAGGTAGGAAGTAGGTAAAAGCAATATACATCCTTATAAATAGCACCGCTTCCAAAACCAGCAAGTTACTAGCTACAGCAGCCACTAGCTATTTACAGGGAAATCTAGCCTCAAATGTAACCTTTTCACAATGCATAATAAAAATATAAGAAATAATCCCAAGGCCAGCCTTCCCGCCAATAACTACACAGATAATACGAGTAATTTTAAATACAGCAGACCATAACTCCACAGGTTTCCCAGGCGCTGAAGCTGTATTAAATATCTCACTTATTTGTATTAAACAGCCCACTAATTTCTTTTTTTTTTTTTTAATAATACATGTACAAGGAATTGTACTGTCTGAATGGAAGGACAAGTAACGTACTGTGTAAGGAGCAACACAGGCAACTTGGACTTCGTAGGACAAAACTCTACAAACCCCAAATATGTCAAGGTTTCTAACACTAGCAGTCTTGATGTTTTATTAGACATGCTAACTGCAGTGCACAAAAGAGACTACAGTTAAACAACCTGCTTTTACAATCATTAAGCTATTTGGCTGTAGTATCTCAGCAATCCCCTGACACCTGATGTATCTACAGTAAATATTATTCCTCTTCCACTAGTGGGCAAATTAAGCCACACACTCAGTGATTCCCCAGGAGGCACATGAATGCTGGCACAGTGACTAGCACCTCCCACCAGGAGGATCTGGTGCCCAGTGATGCATTTGTAGTCTTATTTCCTGGCTTCAGACCCCTGCTGAAGTGATGGGCTCCTCATCCACCTGGCCTGCTGTCTCCGGAACCTCAGCAATTACTGTCTAAGTACTACACCCACATGTATGGGGCAACAACCCTCCTGAGGCTGCAACATTAAGAGTAGAGAAGCAAAAAAATGCCAGAATTGGTCACCTGTGTGACACTGCAATACATATGCATTACGACGGCAAAGTATTACTGTGTGGCTCTGGTGCTGCATGTCTGAATGCAGTCTTTGAGAGGAGCAAAGCAAACCTTTCTCTCTCCTTGCCAATACAATGTACCTGTGGAGCACCGATTGCAGGAAATGTAGCTTTGCCCAACATCACTGGCTGACAGGTAGGTGCCAGTTCACTCTGCATGCCTGACACAGGCCCACCAGGTCATGTAAACCATTAACTCACATAACCAACCACAGCAAAGTTACAAAAAGCTCAAATGCAGTCTTATAATGGGAAGGGTCAGGGAGTCATAATAATTCAGCTTGCTACCAGCCAATATTCTAGTACATGTACTAGCATTCTCAAAGTCCCCCAATTTTACTGGGCAGACTAGACAATCCTATTAAATAAGCCAGAAGGAGTGAAAAGATGCAAAGTGCAACAGGTTTTTAGTTTTAAATGTCATACAAGGATGGATGCTAGCATTTCCAGACCTTTCTTTTCTAGAGGCTGCAAACATACAGTTCACAATTCAATTTACCAGAAGTCAGCCTCACTTGAAGCCTTCTGGCACAAGGAGTTCATTTCCTGCTGTGTTTGTCTGGCATTTTGCGCAGGCTGGAAGCCACCTGAACCAAACTGCAATACTTACTGTTTCTTGTGTGCAAAGGGGGAAAACAGTTGGCCTAAGTAAAAGAAAGAAATGATGTTCACAAGATTGATTCTTTTCTTTTCCCTTCACACAAACGTGAAAAACAAAAACATGAAAACAGCAAGGAGATAGGGAAAAAAAGTGAATTTGGGGACTGAACTGCTGCTTTGGTTATGACAGAAAAAACACGCCTAACTGCCAAGTCCTTTCAAAGAGCTTTCATTGGAGTCAAGTGGATTTTTCTTTTCCTACCCATGTGCTTTCAGGTGTTAAGTGCATTGCTGTTTTTCAAGATCCTGGGTATGGGAAGACACAGCTCTATAGATTTCTATGACTACTGTTTTTTCATGACCTGTCCTGCCAAAAGCAGACAAGAACCTCTCCATTTGCAAAACTTAATTGATGCAACAGTTTACTTTATTACATTGTATTGTCATAAAAGCTCGTGTCTTAGCATACCTATCGGTGCTAGCTTTGCCACAGACAGATAGGACACACCACAGAAACCCCTGCAGAGGCAAGGAAAAGGTGGCAATGGAAAAAAGTGCAATTTTCAAATTCTTCATTCATTTTGCTTCCATTTGGTGGACTGACAGGCACATTTCAGACTGTGTGAAGCACAGAAGCTTCTGAAGACTGAAGCCGTGTTTCAGTTCTGACCATCAAATGTGGTATGTGCTTATTTCCTGCAGGACCTCTCTGGGTTATGCTATGAGTCTGACCAGGAGCAAGTGACCCACCACAGAAGCTCCACTTTCAGCAATTGTTGCACTACATGTGAGGGGCAGGGCTGTGCATTTAGGAGCTTTGTTGTTTAGCTTCATTTTGGGATGTTGCTGCACAGCTTTGTGGGGGCACACTGGTCAATCATGGGATGTGAAATGCTGACAAATTGAGTCATCTTCCTTCAAAAATGAGCCCAAATAAAAAATCACCTCAGGGAAGTGCAACAAAATATCCGTCTTTGCCAAATCAGTGCATTTAATCAATACACTACTAAGGAATCATACAGTTTCATTATAACTACTGAGTGCAGCAGCCATCTGTAAGTTGCCTTTTAGACCACACAGAAGAAATAAACATCAGACCTTATCTCTGAATGGAGAAGGGAGATGTGGATGTAAAAGTGCAGGTAATACATGCTCTACCTCAGAAAAGTACTGCTTAGTTCCATGGAGGTATAGCAAGGACAGAAATAAAAGCACATTTATGCAAAACTGAACAGAAAAGGAAAACCCCCGAAGATTTTACAAAAGCGACAAGAACTGCTTGTTATTTTAATGTTATACATGCATGAGATGGAGTTGAGAAGATCCAACCAGTGATCTCAGCTCAGTTGTCACACTGACACTGTGGCACATGATGTCCTCTTCGGCTTCCCTCCCTGCCTTAGTTTCTGCTTTAATAGCTGGGGATGCTGTAGTGTTTTCCTACCAAAGGGATTGTGCTCCTTTCTTAAATCCACCTCTCTGAGCACTTTGGCACAGAGACTGGTAAAGTATCTGCCCAGAATTCGCTTGTGCTCTCAAGACACCTCTTAGCTGTTCTGCCTGCCTACAAAAAGTGCAAATTGATAACTTCTCCCTATTATAGTGAGACTACAGTAGATTAAGTTTTCAATTAATGATTAAGCTTGAAAGTCCCATTCCCTTTTGTGCCTCAGCTGCCTATACCAAGACCATGGGGAACAAAGCATAGACCATAGTTTTTACCCTGTAGGTTTAGAAAACAAACCAGTTTATTTTCTTGGCAGTATTACTGACAGCTTGGTATGAGGTCTTTGCCTGACCATCCACTTGCTCTGTATCAGTGCTACCGACACTGCCATGGGCTAGCAAGTATAGTCCTTGGTAAAAGCATCCAAAGAAAGAACTCTTAAATATTTATTCCTAGCTTCTAGGAAAGGGAAGGGGTTTTGTCTCCACATGTAGGAGCTTTGTAACTCTGAAAATCTTGCATTTCATGGCACAAGACTATCATTTTTCTGATAGCAGGCTCTGGCTACCTTTTAATAATCTTCCCATCTGACAAATTTTCTTCTTCAAGAGAGCTGCTTTTCCTCTAATAGGGCATTTACTGGTTATTTTTTTTCCTTTTCAAATAGCCCATAATAATAATATTCACAGACACAAAACATCAAACAGCCTCTCCTAACAGTGGCTGCTAGGTCTGAAGCTCTAGCATGGTCTGGATTCCTTATGAGTTTGTTAT